GGAATTGGAAGATTATTCGTTGTTTTTGACCGCTCTGCATGAGATACAAATTCAGGTAGGAGAGGGTGATTGTAGCAGGTGAAGGTTGGCTCGAGATGGTATTTTTTCAGTCCGCTCATACTTTCAATCCCTTTTGGGATTTGTGGAGAGCTCATTACCTTGAAAGATGGTGTGGCAAAGTAAATTGCCTCCACGGGTAGCATTTCTATTCTGGACAGTTATGAGGGGGCAGGTGTCAACGGTGGATAATCTTCAACGAAAATGATTTTATGTAATCGAGTGGTGCTATATGTGCAAGAAGGATGGAGAGACGATTGATCATTTATTAATTCATTGTGATGGTGTACGTTGGCTTTGGAATAGTATTCTGACTTCTCAATCAATGGATTGGGTGCTACCTAGGCGTATAGAAGACGTGGTGCGGGCATGGAGGAGAAAACTTCGCGATAAGGATAGCAAACTTCTTTGGAATCTTATCCCGGGATGCATTGTATGGTGCGTATGGAGAGAACAGAACGATCGATGTTTCGAAAACCAAACAAAGACAATAGAGTAGATAAGAGAATTATTTTACTTGACTTTGTATACTTGGTTTAATGCAATGGCTAAAAATCCTGTCGTAGGGTAGCCTAATTTCATGTTGTTCCTTTCGTGCTTAAAGTGATTGTATACCTCCCCGTGTACTCTCTTTTACGGAATAAAATTCTCTGATTACCTATCAAAAAACAATAAAAAAGTGTCCGTGCAACACAGAAAAATAGTATTCAATTACTTTATCACATGAAAACATCACAATGGCATTCTCATGATTTGATATTCTAATTCTACTTTTAAGCAATTTTCGCACTCCAGTAAGGGCACGACTTCCAAATGAAAGAAGGGTTCAAACGATGGAAAACTTTGCAAAATAGGATTTGCAAGAATGTACCCTGTAGGACTCCAGCCCCACAAGCTTCTACCAGAAAAATGAGGCCTCAGAGAAACTCTCAAGGATGATAACAAGAAAGATAATTCTGGCAGTCCCTTAAATCTCAATGAAACTGAAAATGCCAAGGAATGAAATTGTTTTCAAAAATGAATAAATTTAATGGCAGCATTTTTCAATCCCAAGACTGCCAAGGAGCAATGAACCCACCAACGGGAATCTTATCTAGTTTTCCATCCCCACATCCCAGTAGGTGAATCGAATGAAAGAAGAATAACCCAGATATATGAACTTCTAACAGTTCCTACAAAAGTGCCTCTCCCATCCATGCGAATTCAATCCATATTTAACCTTCACAACCCTTCCGCACAAAGATAGTTGTTCCACAGGAAACCTGCGACGCAATTGCCCTGTAACTTGAGATTGCCTGCTCCAACCCTCCTTTGCTGTTGCTTCTAGAAGCTAAATCCTAATCTACCAAATGATTCATTTGACCTTCTCCCCCGCCTTCCGACCAAAATATCTCATATATCTTTCGATTCATGCACCTAACTAACCTGACATCTTAAACCTTGAAATGTAATACATCAGAATGCTACACAGTATAGCTTAAATGCAAGTTAGTCTATGATCTCTAAAAAAGGGAGATTTTTTCCACTTCAGTCTTTCAGTCACTCTCCCTAAGACCACTAAAGTCACAAAAGAAAGGATTGCCTCCCAAGAGAAGGCCCAGCATTTCAGAATTAACTGATCGACCAATCCTAGATGCCAAACTTTGAACAAAGCACTAATCAATGTTGAGATCATGGTTCTACCACACTCAAGACACAATAAGAAGTGAAAATTAAATATTCCTAGAATGGTACAAAAAGGAGCCTACACTGTGTCATCTGTAAATTGTAAATGTGAGGCTGATGCCTTAAACATTCGCATCTCATGTCCTTCCAACAAAGAAGCCTCCCTTACCGTCTCCACTAGCCGGCCTAGGAGATCTGACACTAACATGAACCAAAAAGGTGACGGGATCACCTTGTCTAAATCCTCCTGAAACCATATTTACCACTTGCTTTGCCATTTATAATGATCGGAAAATGAAACCATTCTAAGACATCCATTAATCCACTTCCTCCAACTTGAACTAAAATATTTCTACTCCATGAAAGAATCTAAAAACTCCCAACCTACATGATCATATGCCTTCCCAAAATCAAGCTCAAGAATTAGCCCCTTCCTTCAAAGCTCTGTATTCCTCAACAATTTAATTAGCTACCAACAACACATGTAAAATTGGCTTCACAATCAAAATATCCTCCTTTATAACTACACAAAAGCCTATTGTATACAAGCTCATAACCAAACTAATCAAAAGAAAATCAGGAATTTTAGAATGAAGCACCAAAAAAGTGATTCATTTGTACGAAATGGAGCACCCGGGGGGGGGGGGGGCATCGCATTCCAAATTTTCGCTTATAGTATCTCAAAACAAAGAAAAGATCTCTTTCAACAACCTCATCCTTCTTGAACACCTCACCTCCCCCAGATGAACAGTGGAAATGATACCAAAGTAACAGCAAATCTTTAAATGAACAATGATTCGAAAAAGAAAAAAAAAAGACATGCAAGTTCTACAAGTGTGAACATATCTCTGAGACGAGCGAAGGTGCGGTGCGGAAGTGTGGGAGACAGAGAGGGGGGCAAAAGATAAAAGATACCTGAACAGCCTGCTCGAATGCACAAGAGATACCAAGCAATTCTTGCACTTGTTTTATAGCATAGGGAATTGAACGCTTGGTATCAATCAAATGGATGACCGGTAAGCAGGAGTCCATGAGTACCCTCCAGGCATCTCCACTCTTCCTGACAGCTTTTTTTTCAAGAATTATATCAAGAGCCAACTCACCCTTTTGGCTCTTAGAAGGGCTCCTGATTGAAGTTGCATCAGAATTAATCCAAATTATATTTACCGTGGAAACCATAGGATCACCTGCCGATTCACGAATCATGATTAAATATACATCCACAGTCAGAGCCTCTTATAGAGAGCAGACAGTTCATCAAAATCCACTTCTTTCCAACAGTAAAGCACATTATGCAAATGAAAAAATAATAATAATAATAAATAAATAAATTGAGAAGTGTTATTACAGGTAACTCTTTGAACGAACTAGTATATTCCCCAAATAGAACATACTACATCCTAAGTCAAATATAACTAGATATTATACAGCACAAAGAAAAATAGAATATTGCAGATATGTTTTTAACAAATCATATAAATACCTTTAATAATTGTTTCTAACAACACTGGGCAAACTGTATCAGCAAGAATATGAGAAATCCTCTCTAAATGATCATCATTTGCCCCTATCCAAAGGAACTGCAAGCATGGAGTGTCCGTCCACTTGCTTTCAGCAGAATGGCAAAAAGAACAACAATTGCTGCAGACAAGTAAAATGTGTCTCAAAATCTAATACTTATGTGTTTGGACCAATTACTGAACAATGAAAATTTAATTTTGATGCTAAGAATAGAACCTAAAACCTATTTGAGTAATCTGTTGTCCCTTCATAGAAATTATTAGGGTGAAAGGCTCTTTTTGAAGCACAAGCTTGCTAAAGCTAAATCCAAAACCATCCCAAAGTCCAAAATATAATCTTCCTCATTTTGATCCCAAAACCAAAATCTCAGTGTACTTCATGTTTTAAGTTACCTTTCCTAGTGTAATGATACAAGCCTTCCGAACGAACGAACGAACTTAATTTAATTAGGGATAGTTTGACTCACCACTTAGTGCCAAAACTGTTAGTTTACATAGGAAGGTGTAAAAGATCATATCAATCACACCAATTATTAGTACATATATTATTATATCTTGCATAATATCAGAAAAAATTAGGTTTCATCCACCAATATATTATACTTGCACATTTTGAAATGTATGATATCAATTTTATGATAATGTTCTGCATGACAACTGTCACAAGTCAGCAATAGTTTGGAGACAGGAATTTATGACCTTTTGGGCAATATTTTTAGGGGGAAAACCCACAGGCCAAGTTGCAATAAGTACATGAAAAATTGAATAAATCAAGATGCATGTCCAAAAACTATAATTGCATGCCCAGCAATCAAAAACCAACCTGAATGATAAATCTATTCTCTTAAACAGGTTGCCAACTTTTTTCTTCTTCCGACATAGATTGATGGTGTCTTGACATTTTTCGAGAATATCATTCATGCTGATATTTGACTGCTTCAGCTGTGTCTGCTCAATCAAGTTAAGAGAGAATGAGAAATATCAGCCACAAAATTCTGAACAAAATAAGAAAACTACAATATCCTTAAAATGATGCGGAAACCTTGTTGAGATGTATGTGACCAACAAGGCCAGCACCAATCTCAGAACTATCTCCTGCTGTTTCAGATCGTTTGTACCTGTACAGACGAAGCAACAAGAATAAATGATATTATCCTTAACCACCTTAGTTGAATCAATGAACACCTCTTAAGGTCAACATTCCAACAATCAGAAAAACAAGGACTGTAAGCATCTAATGAAGGATGAATCACAAACAAATCACAAACAAGGAAAAAATTTATAAAAAGTTAGAACAATGTTGAACATCACACTACAAACCAAGTACAAGATCGTTATCTTGATCGTAATTAGTACAACTGTCTTGACATCCATGCATGTGTCCATATGAGCTCACAGAGTGAGAAACATCTATGGAAGACTGCATGACAAAATATTCAAAAATCTGTGCGCAGAAAGAAACGAGTAACACACTAGTATCATCAGGTAAGGAGAGCATCAATGTTTTGGGATGTAAAAGCATGCGAGATTTCTAAAATTTTCTTTCAAGAAAGAACCAACAAGGTTATTCATCTTTCCCAATCCCAGATAAGAGCAAACCATATAACCCCAACCAGAAATGGTGGGATATAAGATCAGGGTATAATGCTTGCTGCCAGGAGTGGACTAATAGAAAAAGGGAAATTAAGAAACTAAATTAGAGCCTCGCTAAGGAGGATAGGGACATGTAGTAATTAGTGCAAACTCATTTTATATTGCCGATGGGAAAAATTGTGAAGCAAGAGTTCATTTAATGCTCAATTCATGATATCATTTACCTACAATTAGAGCAATAATTAAGAGTTGAAAAACCTTAGCATGTTCTCAGATAGTAAACTAACAGACAGGCACACCAAGGCTAAGTCCCAAAATATGAGAGATGCTATGAGAGGAATCAGGGGCATACTCTATCAAGAAATCGACTGATGATTCCTTAAGACTGACTTTCGCCAAATGATTCTTAACCACACATGCTGCATTTTCTTGACAATGCTTTCTTCCACAATCACAATCATTTAGATATAGCATTACACGTCGGTCAGAACTATCATTTTTGAAATTGACTCCACAAAGCAGTATTTCCTGAGCTCAGAAATAGCAAGGAAAATATGTCAATAATTTGTTGCAATCAAAATTAAAGAAATTTCAATTGAGTGCATTTCCAAATTCTAAAAACGCTAGTTACCTTCATCATCTCCCAAGAAGAGTTACTACTCGGGGAAGAATCAAGAACTGCCTTGTACGCAGGATTTGACATAGCAGTTGCAGCTAACACTCCAACAGGGTCGCCAGTGGCAAACTCACTTGCAATATTGGCACTGTTAACTCCATATTCAAATTGAATGATCGAGTTACTGCACATATTTCTCACAGTGCCATCATGGCAAATCATAACATCTCGAAGGACGGCCATCAGATTCTTGAATAATGTTCCTGGTTCAGTTAACCCTCTAGAGGAACGGACAATTACTTCTCTACTGGAGATTGAATGAACCATTTCCTGATATGGATCCAATCCTTGAAAGAGGGGTCTACCAACCAACCCATATTTCTCAGTAGGATAGTTATCACTGGAAGGATACTTGTTTTGGAATAGTGATGACATAGCATTCACCAAAGTCCCAGTATAAAACTTCCCCCTATCTGCCAATTGCAACCCCAAGAATCCAATTTGCTGAACTACCTTGCTGAGAGCAGATTCACTTTTTGAATCTACGAGATGGCCTATTGCAGAAGATCCAAGAATGAAGTCTGTAACTGGTTTTTTCATACTGCGCAAGTAATTCTCCAACTGCAACGCTATAGATTCACTATAACACGCATTCAAATCACGTAGCAATCGAGAAATTTTCTGAATATCTACTTGGATGTTCTTTAAAATGTCCCCAGGTATGAAAAGATCTCTTAAACTAACACTGAACCCTTCCGAGTAGAGATTCTCCATCAACAAGGGTTGTAGAGAGTTAAAAAACCCCAGAACCGCCTTAGGGCCCTTCAAAAAGAAAATTGATGTGACTAAGTCATTGACAATGGACTGCATCACATCCCTATTAAAATCAATTCTCAGTAGCTCGCTTTTACAAATAGTATGTCTCTCCCCAGAACAGTCAAATTCATGAGGTAAAGTGATCTGCAAAATCTGTGCAGCAGTCCAAAGAGGGCCAGCTTTACAAGATTTCAACACTGCAGGCCCAGGTAAAGAATTGGGGGAGACCATCGCCAATTGTTGTGCTGCTGCTTTGCTCAAGTAGTAGTTTTGGAAAATGAGTTTCAGAGATAGAAGTGAATCCATTCCCAGTTGCAGGTTGAAATTGCCAGTGTGAGAGCTAAGCAGCTGTTTCTCTACAGAGAAAAGCTCTACAACTTCTGCTTTCGCTTCAAGAGACTGTGGATAAAATAAATGGATGCAATCTCCATCAAAGTCAGCACTAAGTGGACCACAAATGAGGGGATTGATCTTGACCGTATGATCATCATGAATATAGACTGACAGAGCTTGGAGGGAATGCTTATGTGTAGTTGGCGGTCTGTTGATAAACACTATATCTCCATCCATTATCCTACGGTGCACTATCTGCCCAGGTTTCAAAAATGTATGCCCCTTTGACCCTTCCCTCAACGAATATGTGGACATGCCATCCCTATAAGTTAAACAAAGCTTTTCATCAACCAGTCTTTGCAAGTATTCCATGTTGTGCTGGTTTACTCTCTCCTCAAAGGTGATCTTTTGCGCTATTTCGAATGGCAAACCAATCTCAGACACGCCTTTGAAGGAATCACCAGTTATCACACTACGAGAAGAAAATCCAGATCCCTTTCTAATAAACAGAGTTTTCATCTTCTCAAGCCAAGCTTTAGTAGAAGAAGCATTTATCTCTTTATTGACTCCAAAACGTGTATCTACATCACGAGATGCCTGGTAGAGGAAACAGAAATGGAAGAGCAAGAAAGACAATTAGTCAAAACAACAATTGCAGCATCTTAATCACAACATATAAACCAAGAGGAAATCCCATATGACATTGAAGAACAAAGTGCTGGGGAAGTGAGAAATAAAATATGCAGAGTGACACAAGTACCTTGCCCGTGCCTCTAAACTGAAAATATTGTGCTACAGCTGCCTGTAAATCATTGGCTTCGATTTCCTGAGATTCAAAGTTTGGCATTCCAGACCTAGAATTTTTTATGACCTCTACTTGTTTCAGCACTTTTTTAAGAAGAGTTATAGAATAATCCTGGACAACATAACAACAGGATAATGACTATAAGCCAGCATTGAGAAGATAATGAGGTTCAAGCAGGGAGCAGAGATCACAAGAATGTATTACCGTAGACATGGTACTTATCCCATCAGAAACGTCTGGCACGGACAAACAGTTTGGAGGGACCGGCAAGTGTTGCAGGATGTATCCATCTTGAGGGAAATACCCTTTTGCATCAAGTTTTTTCCTAGTCTCCTTGGGAATTTTTTTTAATATTGCCATCACCTGACAGTTATGAAACATAGAACATAAGTTTGATCAGCTGTGTGCTATGCCACCTGGCAGAAAGATTCAGTCATTTACAGCAGTAACAAGGTAGATGGCACAAGTTCCAAGTTCAGAATTTAATCAACAAAAGCCGGCCATTCTTTTACAAATATGTTTCATGCTAAAGGCGCATTAACCAAAAAGAATAGACAAGGATAGAAAGCCTTAATCTGCATGTGCTCATGACGGCATAACCAAATGGGGAATGTAAAAAAGGAAGAATGAAAACAACAGGGAACTGCACTTCCGTGAACACTGGAAATTAAGCCTTTTGTTTGGTTTTCCTCTTTAGTTGCTAAAATTATAAGTTCGTAGAAATCAGTGGTGAATAACTGGGAACTACTTGTCGGTCATACATAATGTGTCATTAAAACAAATGTTCGACTTCGAAAACTTTTTAGCAACTAAAAAGGAAACCCAAACAAGGGCTAACTAGAACAATTAGAAATGTCATAACTATAAAATTCAAAAGAAGAGCAAGCTCAATACAGAAAGCCAGATATTCCATTCAAGTACTCAGTGGTCTTTTCACATATACAAAGAAAATTGAAAGCTATTGAAAGTTTGAAGAAGTGCAATGACAAAAAATAATAGCAATGAACTCCTAGTGGCAGCTAACATGGTCTTCACGTATTCTTTCTTGACTCATGGATGAAACTCTATAAATACTAAACAGTAGCATGCTTCGGCTGTTGCAGAAAATAAAATTCTAGACTGATCAAACCATCGTAAACACAATCAAGTGGTCTCATATATTGGCAGAACACTATGATGAGGGTGAACGAGCATTGGCAACCCAATCAATACGGTAACATTATTGGTAAAATTAAAATTCTCAAACTATAATTTAAGTACTTGCAATCAAAAAATAAACATGCAAATATGCAATAATAGAAAACCTAAAATTCAATTAAAAAATAAGCACAGCTTAACCTCAGAAGGAAGCAAAGCTCGAGAATAGCTACGCCCGTATCGAAATCCATATTTTTCCAAAAAGTTCCAGAATCCTTCTCGAACAGATCTTGATGGTATTTTTAACTCCAAGTAACAAGCCCCATCAGTAGTCCTGAACTCATTGATTGAGATTTGTGAAGTCTCCTGAAAAAAATGAAGATAAGAAACCCTCAATAAATGCCTCGAAAAATTTCATTAATTGATTTGTGAGTGGTGATGGCTGTGTTTGATAAACAAATTAGTTCAATAAATATTATAAACCATGACTTCAAATTTAAAGATAAAGATAAATTCCATTCCATTAAGAGGATAAAACTGCTATTGCCTTGCAGTTCAACAACACTGACCTGGTGCACAAGGGACCTTGAATGTGTTTAGGATGAAAATCAGAATTGTATTAAAGTCATGAAGAACATTGCACAAGAGAACAAGAGGTCCCTTTAAAGCATAAAAACGTCCACTTTTAAAATAAAAAACACATCACACTCTTCCAAAGAAGAACTAAAGACAAAGGAAAAACCTTAAACTACTAGATATAGATGCCCATAAAAGGCCAAAAACTTGTGACAATGGGCAATGATCTTTCACAATCTTCCAGCTCAGACATACCCAAGAATAACCAAATGCAGCCATATCAATAGTCGACCAAAGCACGGGAAAAACGTACATCATATGAGAAACCTGGTCCTACAGGGGCATTGATTGGATTACGTAATGATGAAAGATAGAGATCCAATGATGCTAGTAAATCAAAACATCAAGATCCTAACATCGATCAACTTTATTGTAGATTGCTAACAGTGCAGAACACTGTAAAGCTCCAATTTAAATGCAAAATTAATTAAAGTATTCAGTTAACATATTTCAAGTTCCATCTTGTGTTCTTTCATTTCATTCGAGATCTCAAAAGCAACTTGTAGGAAACCAAGAATGACTAGGAAGGAAAGTGTAAATATTTAGATATTGTAATATTAGAATAATTGGTGGGATTATGTTTTTCCTTTCTTAGAAGATTATTATTATTTTTTCCCTTTTTTCTTCATCTTGTGTAGTATAAATAGATTGTAATTAGGGACGTTCAATATATCAAGAAATAAAGACATTCTTATTTCTCTTCATGGTATCAGATCTAGGCTCATCCAACCTAGCAATCAATGGCTGAATTTCCGGTCAACAGCAAAGAATCATCAACCTCTGAAACTTCTTATCCTGAAGCAGAGATTAATTCTTCTATGGGTTCCAATGTTACCGAAAATTCCTCTTTCCAACTTACAGTAGAGAAATTGAATGGAAGGAATTTTAGGGAATGGGCTCAATCTATAAAATTAGTAATCAACGGAAAGGGAAAATTAGGATACCTTACAGGCGATATGAAGAAGCCAAATGATGTTGTCCTTCTCCAAAAGTGGAAGTCAGAGAACTCTATGGTAACAGCTTGGCTCGTAAATTCCATGAAGCCATCCATAGGGAAGACTTATCTGTTCCTTCCAATGGCGAAAGATGTTTGGGATGCCGTGGAGGAAACTTATTCAGACGCAGGAGACTCGGCCCAAATTTTCGAAATTAAAACCCGGCTGTGGCAAGCAAAGCAAGGATCGAGGGAAGTTACAGAATATTACATGGAGATGGTTTCTTTATGGCAGGAACTCGATCTAAGTGTGGAAGAAGAACGGGAGTGTCCCTGAGATAGTGCGAAATACAAGAAGAAGGTCGAGAACGAACGGGTTTTTGAGTTTTTGGCAGGACTGAATAGAGACCTCGACAACGTCAGAGGAAGAATACTTGGTCAACGACAATTGTCGTCCACTCGCGAGGTATTTGCAGAAGCCCAGCAAGAAGAATCGAGACGGCAGGTCATGATGAAAGATGCTGGGTTGAACGAAGGATCGACTCTAATAGTTAAAGGAAGTGGGCCTCAATATTATAAAGAAAATGGGTCAGCTAGGGTCAACCTAAGAATGGGTCACTTGACGGGCCAATTCAAACAAGTTGGGCCTGGATTAGAAGAAGGCTTTGGACCAGCAAGGAAAAATGAACAAGGAGCGTTGGGCTTATCATCAAGAGGACTTACAAACGGGTCTACTCAAAAACAACGGGGACGACCATGGTGTGAGCATTGTCGTAGGCCAGGACATAAAGAAGACACGTGTTGGAAAATTCACGAAAAACCCACTGATTGGAAACCAAGGCAAAACAGTAGGAGTCGAGGGTACCAAGTAGAGACTGAAAATAATTTAACTCCAAGCGGCGCTTTCAATTCGGAACAATTGGAGTAACTCCATCAGATGTTCTCGAGTTTTCAAACAACTGGTCAATCCTTCCTTAAAGGTCCCTCTAGCTCACTAGCCCACAAAGGTCACTTTCTTAAAGCCTTAAGCACCTCACGACACACAACTGCTTGGATTAGTGACTCTACTTCTGATCACATAACGGACTCGTACCACCTATTCTCTTCATATTCAACTTGTGTTATAAACATTAAAGTAAAAATTGCAGATGGCTCACTTGCATCTGTCGCAGGAAAGGGGAGTATTCGAATCTCCGAGTCCTTAACACTGGAATATGTCCTCCACGTCCCAAAATTGTCTTGTAATCTGTTATCTATTAGTCAGTTGACAAAAAACTCTAATTGCTCTGCTAATTTCTATCCATCATATTGTGTCTTCCAAGACCTTTTATCAGGGAAGACGATTGGCAATGCTAAAGAGTGTGGGTGTCTGTACTACTTTGAGGAAGCTAACGTGGGTAAACAAAGTCAACTTTTAAGTTGTAATTTAGCATTTATTCCTAGTGATAGTGAAATTTTGTTATTGCGCAGTAGAATGATCTGTTATCTATTAGTCAGTTGACAAAAAACTCTAATTGCTCTGCTAATTTCTATCCATCATATTGTGTCTTCCAAGACCTTTCATCAGGGAAGACGATTGGCAATGCTAAAGAGTGTGGGTGTCTGTACTACTTTGAGGAAGCTAATGTGGGTAAACAAAGTCAACTTTTAAGTTGAAATTTAGCATTTATTCCTAGTGATAGTGAAATTTTGTTATTGCGCAGTAGAATGGGTCATCCGAATTCACAATACTTGAAACGTGTTATCCCTTCCATTTTCATGAATAAAAATTCTATTGAGTTTCAATGTGAAAGTTGTGAATTTGCAAAGCATCAACATACATCTTTTTCAAATTCCATATACAAACCATCTAAACCTTTTCCCATGATTCGCAGTGATTTATGAGGCCCTTCCCGCAATATCAACCGTACTCAAACAAAATGGTTTGTCACATTTATTGACAACCACATTCGAGTATGCTGGGTTTACCTACTAAAAGAAAAAAATTGATGTTCATTCAGTATTTATAAATTTTCACTATATGATTCAAACCCAAATTCAAATTTTGCGCACTGATAATGACACAGAATATTTCAATACCACCTTACAAGATTATCTTACACAACATGGGGTAATCTACCAAAGCTCATGAGTCAATACTCCCCAACAAAATGGGATTGCTGAACGAAAAAACAGACATCTACTCGAAATTGCTCGTGCCCTAATGTTCACCACAAATATGCCAAAAACATTCCGGGGAGATGCCAGTCTAACCTCTACATATCAACAGAATGCCTAATCGCATCCTCTCCTTCGACTCACCTATACAAAAACTCCAGAAACACTTTCCCACTTCTCGTCTTAGTTCAGACCTACCTCTAAAAGTATTTGGAAGCACTGCATTTGTGCATGTTCACTCTCATCATCCAAACAAACTTGAACCACGTGCAATCAAATGTGTATTTACTAGGTACTCACCTACTCAAAAGGGTTATAAATGCTATGATCCGTCTATAAGAAGGGTCCTTGTCAGTCTTGATGTTACCTTTTTTGAAAATACACCCTACTTCCAAAAACCTTCTCATCAGGGGGAGAACATAAGTGAAAAAAAATTAGGATACCTTACAGGCGATATGAAGAAGCCAAATGATGTTGTCCTTCTCCAAAAGTGGAAGTCAGGGAACTCTATGGTAACAGCTTGGCTCGTAAATTCCATGAAGCCATCCATAGGGAAGACTTATCTGTTCCTTCCAATGGCGAAAGATGTTTGGGATGCCGTGGAGGAAACTTATTCAGACGCAGGAGACTCGGCCCAAATTTTCGAAATTAAAACCCGGCTGTGGCAAGCAAAGCAAGGATCGAGGGAAGTTACAGAATATTACATGGAGATGGTTTCTTTATGGCAGGAACTCGATCTAAGTGTGGAAGAAGAATGGGAGTGTCCCTGAGATAGTGCGAAATACAAGAAGAAGGTCGAGAACGAACGGGTTTTTGAGTTTCTGGCAGGACTGAATAGAGACCTCGACAACGTCAGAGGAAGAATACTTGGTCAACGACAATTGTCGTCCACTCGCGAGGTATTTGCAGAAGCCCAGCAAGAAGAATCGAGACGGCAGGTCATGATGAAAGATGCTGGGTTGAACGAAGGATCGACTCTAATAGTTAAAGGAAGTGGGCCTCAATATTATAAAGAAAATGGGTCAGCTAGGGTCAACCTAAGAATGGGTCACTTGACGGGCCAATTCAAACAAGTTGGGCCTGGATTAGAAGAAGGCTTTGGACCAGCAAGGAAAAATGAACAAGGAGCGTTGGGCTTATCATCAAGAGGACTTACAAACGGGTCTACTCAAAAACAACGGGGACGACCATGGTGTGAGCATTGTCGTAGGCCAGGACATAAAGAAGACACGTGTTGGAAAATTCACGAAAAACCCACTGATTGGAAACCAAGGCAAAACAGTAGGAGTCGAGGGTACCAAGTAGAGACTGAAAATAATTTAACTCCAAGCGGCGCTTTCAATTCGGAACAATTGGAGTAACTCCATCAGATGTTCTCGAGTTTTCAAACAACTGGTCAATCCTTCCTTAAAGGTCCCTCTAGCTCACTAGCCCACAAAGGTCACTTTCTTAAAGCCTTAAGCACCTCACGACACACAACTGCTTGGATTAGTGACTCTACTTCTGATCACATAACGGACTCGTACCACCTATTCTCTTCATATTCAACTTGTGTTATAAACATTAAAGTAAAAATTGCAGATGGCTCACTTGCATCTGTCGCAGGAAAGGGGAGTATTCGAATCTCCGAGTCCTTAAC